CCGACCAACGTGGCTACGACCGACCAAAGCCGCTCACCCCCCGACCAACGTGGCTACGACCGACCAAAGCCGCTCACCCCCCGACCAACGTGGCTACTACCGACCAAAGCCACTCACACCCCGACCAAGCGGAAGTCACAATCAGGGGAGAGGGTCATTGTGGCGGGGGTAAATGGCCTGAGTAATGTGTATTTCTGTTAGATAGTATTTTGAGTCGTGTAGTAGTATGTGTTGCCATTATTTGTGTGAACGCGCACGTTAGAGGAAATGAATTTGCGTGCATAGGTCCGCGAGAGTGGCGATGAAAACGTCAAGCTCGGCCTTTTCGAGGGAGTCCAGTAACAGCGGGTCTTCAGTTTGACCAATTGGGTCGGTAGGCTCCCCAGTGGCTAGCTTTTCGGTGGCTACCTTCTCTGCGGCTGGGTCGCCAGCATGTTCTATTTTGTCTAGCGTCCCGCCCAGGAGCCCGGTGACCCAGTTTTCGCGAGCGGCGACCAACCGGTCAAGTGCCGCCTCGCGCTCCAAACGGTGCTCCGCACGGCGCGAGGGCCACAACCGCAAAGTGCGCGATACACTCCGACAGACACCGTCGCCCCGCCGCGCAACGCCGATTTTGAGCGACCGCGGTACCGGGGAATCCGACCCTGGCACTATCGCCATTGCGCCCGAGATGCCAGCAGACGCTCCATGTGAGGTTCCACTTCCATGTGAGGTTCCACTTCCATGTGAGGTTCCACTTCCATGTGAGGTTCCGTATGACATTTTCTCCAGACCGTCCGCTATAAACTTGGGCCCACAGTCGCGACCCCGCGCTGACTGGACTTGCTTAGGGGAAAAACCGCCAGGAGCGAAGGACGCCCCATTAAAGGTGGCTGCCGTCTCGAGGGATCCCACTGTGTCCAGATCTTGCTGAACCAAACCCTTCTCCAAAACCTTCTCGTCACCTCCCGCAACTCCTCGCCTCGTCGGCGACAGGCTGGTCTGGCTAGACCGACCGTTCGATGCCACGTTCAACCTCCCGTTAGACCTCCCGTTCGTCGTCGTCCGTGTGCTGTCGTCTGGAAACTGGGGCGAAATCAGCCAGGGAAACGAATTCGTGCTATTGACGGGCTCCTGCCCTTCTGAGGCATGTCGCCCGAATTTAACCGTATGACCCCCTCGAGAACGCGTGGAGAAGGATGCCGCTGGCCCTGGAGAGCTGTACCTCTCTGGGGGCGACTGATATCTATCGTCTTCCTCGTCATCTGAACGCAATACCGGCCCGAAAACAGTGTTATGTTCCCGTGCTTTTCTCAACAGTACATTTTTAAGGCGATTAGGAGCAGAGTTAGGAGATGCAGCGGACACGAGAGCACGGCCGTCTTCGGTGAACACAGCCGATCCGCGAAATCTTGAAGGGAGGGTGAATATTCCAGGGCTGGTTTTGGGCATAGCACACGCGTGTGCTCGCCCTTTTTGCGCCCGTAATAATCCCCCCTCCTGTACTTTGCACTCGCCGATGTCAAATTTCTGGAATTATAAAGCACAAATTCTGTTTGTAATGAGTAGTGGAGAATAATGATGCGGAAAAAGCTGTGGCCAGTCAATTTGACCAGCCCATTTGAGACACTCAGGACGGAAGCCAGGGAGCGGCGGCAGGTAGGTGTTGGTCGATGTAATACGGTTTTGTTGTAGCGATTTGATCCGGGGACCAATGAAACTAGAATCAGCATTGATGGTAAGGAGTATCTGAAAGGAATACAGCACCAAATAGCAGACAATGAATTAAAAATAGGCTTGCTTGCAGCCGAAGAAAGATCATACGGAGCGACGGCAAGATGGGTAAATTAAGCACAACCTCGGGGTGAGGGGTGATCCGATTCGTGGAAGTTGTTAGCAATGCGATTACGTACGATCTTCCTTTTTTTAGATGGAGGATTACGACGTGTGTCAAGTGTTTCTTCAGAGGATGGATGAGTCTGTTCACCGTCAAAAATGGTTATTGAACAAGAGTCGGTCTTTATTGGTGGGTGATGGGGGAACTGGTTATACGGAGGAGTTGATGAGTATCGGCAATTTGGTAAATGGTTTAATGAGTGATGTCAACAAGACGTTGGCGAACATCTATACCGAACAGCTAAGTCAAGCGTCTGAGACTATCGACCCGTTGGAGTTACGTATGCGATACAATGCGGCCCGTGGGATAACGATGGACTTAAGAAGATTGAGTCGCGAATACCGTCACCTGCATCACAAGCTCGTAGAGGAACACATGAAATATCAAAAGGAGAACAATGCCGCTCTGACTCAAGACCAGCACACGTCGGAAGTCAACTCGGCCTATTCACCACCGAGCATGCTACGACAGTTTCTGCCTAAACAACCGCTCGTGTCTACGCAACAAATTGAACACGTCCAGAGACTCATGGAACATGTCTGCTACCTCTTTGAAGAGACAAATAAACTCACCCTTGAACAGGGCTCCATGCTCGACAGAATCGACGCCAACATTGACCATGCCGTTGCCAGATCCCTGCAAGGCAAGAAGCAAGTTAGACTCGCGGAGCACAAGCAACGACACGGTCTGGCCAAACAAGTTTCCGTTGTCCTCATCATCACCAACGCCGTCATGGTACAACCACCCACCTACCCTCACCAACACCGTCATGTGTTCCTCTCAGTTACCCGCTTTTAGATGATACTAAATGTTCTCAAGATTTATTTCCGTTTTTAACCCCGGCTACCAACCCCGGCTACCAACCCCGGCTACTAACCCAGTTGCCGGTTCAGTTGTAAGGTAATTTTGGTTTGGTCATCATGGTCGTCATCATCTTCATCATCGTCAACATCTTGGAAGAAAGGATTTCCGGCAGCTGCCACGATCGCGTCGGCCTTGGTCTGTCCTATACCATGGCAGGTCATGAGCATTGTTTTGTTGGCATTAAGAATATTCCTTATTGAACCGAATCGTTGCAATAAAATATCAGCGTCTCTTGTGGTAAGGGGTTTTAAAGCGCATAGGAAAGCTTGTGCGCGTTCCATATAAGAAAGTTGTTTCACTCTGTATGGTTGTAAGTAGTCTTCCGCACGTTTCTTTTCATAGATTTTGAAGCTACTTAGAACGTTTGCCATTTCTTCTAAACTCCATGTCAAAAATAGTGCGTGATCCAAGTAGAAACACAGTCTGTTCAGCTCTAATAAAACGTCATCTTCTGCTTCACAATCCACATGAACCAAACATATACACACTCTATAATGTGGTCGACTAAGCTCCATGCGCTCTTGGATATAACGCATTGTGGACATTCTCAAATACCGTAGCGAGCAAATCGATACACCTGTTGAACGACTGACCACAAAATCCACACCAAGATCCGCCAAAAACTCAACACGAACCTCTTTCAACTTTGCAATCAACGGATTCTCTCGCTGCTTTTCGCTTGCAATAATTACGCCATCCTGCACGGTCTCTGGTAACCATACTACGTTATTCATTTCTTCTCAATTTACTCACGATGCTGGCGGTGGGTTGTTAATTTGCCCGATCCTAAAGATACATATAAAAGCACCTAAACTCAGACCTGGATTCAGTCCTGGACCCAGGCCCGGGCTCGGACTTGGCCTCAGACCTGGACTCAGACCTGGACTCAGACTTGGCCTCAGACCTGGACTCAGACCTGGACTCAGACCTGGGCTCAGGTAAATGCGTCCTGTCCTGCGGGACACGTTCGTCCTGTCCTGCGGGACACGTTCGTCCTGTCCTGCGGGACACGTTCGTCCTGTCCTGCGGGACACGTTGGTCCTGTCTTGCACCAAGGTGGGATGCACTAAAGCTCGGGGGGAGGTTCTTGATGTTAAAATAAGTGGGGGGACGAATATATGGTGAGAAGACCGTGCAGAAATGGCCACCCGTCCAATGTAATGTTAATGCTCAAGTTGGACAACATTCTTTGCAAGCTGGGGTTCGAGGTCTGCTTGAAAGACGAAGGTATCCTCGGTCTATGCAGCGGCCGCCTTCTCCAGGCTCAGCGAGACATTCAACTGCGGAATGAGATTGAAGCTGCTTTGGGTCAGAACGACAGCCTGTTCAACTATGAACCGAACAACGAGTTTTACTCCGGCGACCGTCCACCTCCGGCTGATGGCTCCCAACCGACGAGAAATGCCGAACTTGGCGGAGACCTGACTTGGTACAGACGACTGCAAGAAAAGGCTCTGCCGACGGATTTGGGGTTCGCGGGTAGGTCCCGAATCGTGGAGCGTCGTGCTGCTAACCGGAGATCGGCAGACGCATCTTCATCGTCTAGGGAATGGTCTTCAAAGGAATGGTCTCCAAGGGAATGGTCGTTGAGGGAATGGTCGTTAAGGGAATGGTCGTCAAGGAACATTGCTTCGGCGGGTCGACATGATGACTCTCGCCAGGATGACTCTCGCCAGGATGACTCTCGACAGGATGACTCTCGCCAGGATGACTCTCGACAGCAAACAAGAACATACGTGCAGCAAAGCTCGGCCCTAGATGGAAGATCAAGGGTGCTTCTGCTTTACCTGAGACCTACTTGGGTCGGCGAGGGTCAGGACCATTTGGCCGTGGAGCGTCTAGACCCAGTCAAGGAAACGAAGTTCCAGGGGGATTTGTACCACAAGAGAGGGCCAATGGCACGTAGGTCGGTTGGGGGGGTTTGGCTTCAAGGAGGGTCCGGTGAAGGGAAGTCGGTGGAAGAAAAGTTGGTGGAAGGGGAGTTGGTCGAAGAAGATTTGGGAAGCGAGGTACAACCGGAAGGTCCGTTGGGTATCGAGGCCTGCTATGTCGATACGCCTAGAGCCAGTGCCCGTGCCGAGTCATCCAAGGGCACCCGGAAGAAGCAGAGGCACGGAAGCCCAGGAGCCGCAGGAAAGAAATCTTCACGGGCGAAATGTGTTCGAGACAAGAAGTCACGAGAGGACACGGCGTTCGTTGAGTACTTAAGGTACCTCAAGCCTCAGAGCGAACTTCCCACCTGGGCAACGGGTCCGCCAGTTGTCATTGACCTAACGCCGGACGACGAAGACGAAGAAACACCGGCGGGTAATGTGGCAGGCAACGGGGCACGTGGCGAACGCAAGGTGATGCGGGACGAGGTAATGCGTGTCGAGATAATGCAGGGCGAGGAAACTCCGGCCAGCGATGCCAGAGCCGATGTGGTCGCGGCCGGCCAGGCTGATATCACGGTCGTCCGAGAAATAACCTTGTCTTCCGAGCTCGTCGTCGAAGTCGTTGAACAGACGGCTAAAGAACAGAAGGCTAAACAACAGATGGTCGAACAACAAATGGTCGAACGACAAATGGTCGAAGAACAGGCGGTGAACAGATTAGGGGGAGGGGGGTGGGTGCACTTGGATTCAGGCGGATCGCTGAAGACTTGGGGCAGCAAGAAGGATCTGTGTGGTACTGTGAACACGAAGCATATTCCCATCCATAGGAGGCGGCGGGTGTCTGGGTGCGAGAGACGAGACGAGAGTAGGAGTGGTTATTTAGGTTTGTTTGATCCCTCCGTGCTGGACGGTCGCTTTGCCACACGCGTTTCCGGATTCCAAAATCTGCGGGACAAGCTTCAAGCGGAAGGTAAGTGTCCGTGGAGTAGCTGGGGGAAGAGCGATACGTTGTTGCTACGAGGCTGGGTCATGTTTGGAATGATTGCTACCCTTCTGGATGAGCCGAAGGAGTCGGAGATTCGATGCATATGCAGTCGCTTGCCTGCCTACTTTGGTCCTCTGCACAGGCAATGGGCTTCAGTCGGCACCGGCACTGCGCATGGTGGCGCCCTCAGCAGTGCTGATGAGCGGTTGATCGGTGGTGCCCTTGCGCAATTTGATCGTTCTTGTAGCGCCAACTTGACGAAACGTCTTTTCGATTGTAAGGATAGTGCCGACGGCACCTGTGCCGCGGCCACTCCCAGTGGTCTAGAGGGAGAAGCCCGAGAACTCAGGAAGACCTTGGAGAGAGTCTTTACACTGAGGCTTATATTAGAAGCTGTGTATCTTCCCAATATGGATCTACCTCCCACTATCAAGCCTCACGCGCGCTACGGCAGCTGCTTGGTTAACGACCTGTTCGTCTTTCCGATGACTGTTGCCAACTTCCTCTTGGACTTACAAGACGTTCAAATACACTGGGCAATTTCGGACATGCTAGACATCAAACACACCAAGCCATGCAACTGCCATAACATCATAAGGAAACGAAGCGCGAAGACGACGAAGCGGAATAAACACGTGGACGGTAAAGTTACATTGATTGCCAACAATGCGCGATTAGTCAAGCTTCCGGAGGCGGCGGACCCCTTGCAGCGAGATTTGACCCCTTTCGAGTGGGCTGCCGAATTTTATGATGCTGACATCCTGTATGAAAATATAAGCCCGAATTCTATTCAGGTCCGACATTTAGATCGTGCCAGCGGCTTGGTGGTTAACCGACGACTGCAGAATGAAGCCGTAGCGAACGATTTTGACAGCTGGAACTTTGTTTTGGTGCCGTACAATGCGCTAGAACATATAGCACACACGTTCGACGAAGCGCGGGTTCGATAAAGCCCACGAACCGGCACCTCAGCGGCATTTCCACGGTAGAAATTCTTCCTAAAAAATCATCAGCCGCCCCGTCGAATCACTCGGCGGTCGAAGTTATCAAATGACGATCAATAGACATGTTTTTGGATCTGCGTCCAGAGACTGATTTCCTGGGGGTAGCAGCCAACGGACTGCCTTTGATCGCCGCACCGGCGGCCGCAATAGATGCCTCGGGCACAGGGAATCCACATACAATAAACGCGCAAAACAACACGCTTTGGCTTGCAGCGACTGCCCAATCCACCATGGACAGGCTTGGTAGTAATTCTGTTGTCAATAACCTCATCCGTCGAGACCCTGACAAACTTTCTGTATATCGTTTCATCTGAAAGAAGCAGCATCATCACGCATCGTACCACCCTTACTAATAACGCTCCTCGAGCTAAAATTCGTTGATGCCTCTGCCAAGCAGTCGTGGCCGTATTCTCTTCCAGCAAATCGACTTTCTTGTCTTTAGGGACCCACGAGCAATCATCCAATTGTTTCAGGAAGCTACATAAGAGGAAGATTACGCAAGTTGCGCGCGCAATATTATAGCGCGCACACGTGTGCGCCACTTAAGAAATTGCGGAATATTGCGCAACATGAAATGGAAGGGGGAGCCTGGCTGCATGAAATAGAAGGTGTCAGGCCAGGACAGGAGGAGTGCTGATTACCTGGCCAGCGTTAGTCCCCAGTATAGGAGCTTCTTCTTGTCGGATAAGGTAGTTTGGGGTACCAGAGTCAATGATGCCGCCTTTTCGTCGGCGATGGCTAGACAGGAGCCGCATGTTGAGATACAGCTTTCGGAATGCGCCACGACAGTCGGCTTGAAATTGTTCGCCGCGCCGCACAATTGGCAGACGTTGGCAGGAATAGTGAACATGGTGAACACCCGATTCCAGTATTCGGTGTCCATTACAAGATTGCTGGGACCTGATATTATTATGTTTTCTTCGATTCCTCGTAGGGAGCTGTTCTTCTCCTTAAGTACCTCCCAAAGTGTTTGGAGACTGTTCTTTTCCGCCTTGGTGCCGTATTCCGGCGGACCTGCCCCCTTCTCCGGTGGATTTCTCGGCGACGTCATAACAACTCCGCCCGTTATGGCCGCTGTCATGCTCGCATTCAATGATTCCGGAGGATTACTGTCGCCGCCCTTGCCCTGCCGTCGGTCGCCACTCGGCAACCCCTTCGCAGACCCCACGTCCGGCGAACCGGCTGTCCGCGGCGATTCCGCATTGCCCGCCGCCGGGTTCCAGTTCACGTGCACCCAGTTCGACCAGAGCGTCGCCGAGCCCGCCGACTCCGCCGACGCCGCCGTCGCTGCGCGGTGCGTCACCGAGTCGTCCGCAGACTCCAGCTTCCGCAACTCGTGCTCCCCGTGCGCCCACCGGCAGTTGTTCTCGTTCCGACACCCTCCCGACTCGCGCCAGAATTTGCAGATCTCCGTCTTCCACCAACCTTTCGCAGGCGCCTTTTGCTGACTCCGCGCCGACCGCTGCACGTGCTCCCCGGGCGAACTGGACCCGGTAGGTAGCACGGGCAGCACCACGGTCGCAGGCGACCCACCCAACATAGCCATGCCACCACTACCCAGGGCCGTTGCGCCGCTGCCGAGCGCCGCGGCGCCGCTACCGAGTGCCGCGGTCCCGCTACCGAGCGCCGCGGTCCCGCTACCGAGCGCCGCGGTCCCGTTACCAAGCGCAGCGGTCCCGCTACCGAGCGCAGCCGACCCGCTGCCCAGCGCGGCCCCGCTACCCAGAGGACTTTGCGGTCCGCTCGAGCCGAGGAGGCCGGAGCTGCCGAGGGGTCGGTTGTTGCCCAACGGTCGGGCTCCGGTCTCCAGAGCGCTTCCGCTCGTGCCGCTGCCCGAAAGGGACGGTCCGTTCGCGATCATCGAGCCCACCGCGGGCGTGCTGAACG